GCCGGGAGCCGGGCTTTAGGAGGACACCATGACCGGGAGGTGAGTGACCCGCCCCGAGGCGGCTTTCGACGAGTCTTCTTGCAAACCGAGCATCTCTGAGAGCTTCGTTAAGGCTGCGGCAGTGATCTGTTTTCCTGTGGCTGGGGAAAAAAACTCCTTTACCCAGTATCGTGCCGGGCCCTCTGTTAAACGCCCGCAGCTCTGTCTCCCGATTCTGAAGCCGGTTGCAGCTGTTAATGCGATGTGCCATGCTTTCCCTCGCCCCGCACCAGATGCGGGATATTGACGGTGTTTTTGTTATCACAGTATTTGTGAAACTTTAGTGTACAGTAGAAGCGTTGACATGTTGTTTCCTCGAGTAAAGGAGCTACTATGCCATCGAGTTTCCTTATGTATATATAGGGATCGAGTTTGTAGGTGGTGGAGAGACTGAATCTGAATCCCAGTTTTTTGTCTTAATATTCATTTGTGGAGTCTGTCTTCTGTTACGCATGTGTGAAAGGCAGCCTCGCAAAGCTTGGTTTAATGCTGTTGTATTATGGGGCAGCTGCTGGATGCGGTTGAGACGGTGGTCACAATGTGCACGTGATGTGTGGAATGAGCCTTACAGTTGCTTTACCTGCCTAGTGCAGACAGGCCTTTGTCGTGAAGGATTGTTGGGAGTTTGTGTAACGTCCTTGCCCAGTGCACGTGGGGCTGTCTCTCTGGCTGCCCCATAACCGCAGTTAATTCTTCGGAGGCTGCAGATGAGTAGCAGTTCATGTCCTTTCCTGTGGCAGTTACTGGAACAGTGGAGACGCAGTTTATGTGGTGTGTAGCAAAACAGTGAAGTTTACTCATCACAGAGGGTTTGCAGACGTTTGGAAACACCTACTGATGTTGAAGCCTGTAGTGCCAGAAGTTTATGAAAAGCAGAAAGATGCAAAGCTCTCATAAATACTTCATGCCCTACTTACTTAGCTTTCCTCCGCTGACTGAACATAAGGATTTGCAGTAGTCTGTAAAAGCGAAAGCAGTGGGATTGTTCCTCAGCTAAATTTCTGCTGGTGTGGAAATAATTTCTGCTGAAACAGCACAGTAATTGTTTCTGCACTTGATACTTTGGGGTAAATTATAACTTGTGAATGTTTTCAATGTCTGCAGGCTGTGGTGCAAGGCCACTTTTGCTGGCTACAAACGTGGCCTCCGAAACCAGCGGGAGCACACTGCCCTTCTGAAAATTGAAGGTGTGTATGCCCGTCAGGAGACAGACTTCTACTTGGGCAAGAGGTGTGCCTACGTGTACAAAGCTAAAAAGTGAGTAACTTTTTATTGTTCTGCTAAATCAGCCGACTCTTGTATCAGCTTTTGCAAGTGCCAGAATGTGAGCAGTCTGTTCATAGAGCTGTTGTTAGAACGCAAATGAATTTGATTCAGTTTATCCGTAGAATGTCCATGGAGCACTGTGTAGGTCAGTTTCCTGGTTTGGTTTGGGTTTTGAAGTCCTTGGTTATTTTTGCTTTAATTGGCCTATGTGTTCTTAATTCAGATCATGAAATTACGTGGAATAATTATTTGCTGTTATAAACAATACGTTAGAGAGCAAACCGAAAGCAAATTTTGCCAGAGACTGGCAAAAACTGAAGGTGTAAAACAGAAGAGTAAAATGAAGCGAGGTGAATTTGCGTAGAGTACTCTGAGCTGCTGAGTTACTTCAGCAGCAGAATTACTTTGTGAAGCCTGGAGAACTTAGTGTCCTTGCTTATGGCGTGCCCATGTCAGAGCACTGCCACTTCTGCTGTGCTGCTGGTGGTGGAGCCCTTAAGAGCATTACTTGTTACCTTCCACTTTTTAGTTTGTAGTTGTTAAAGTTCAGATACAAGAGTTTAGAATTGTCTTGAATAAAATCCATCAGGCTGTCAGCTTGATCACCATCATTTCTAACATAGCACACGGCTTTTCTTCTAAAGCAGATTTTTGCAGTCCTTCCCGATGGCTTAGGCCCGTCCTGCCTTTGGTGTGTCTGGAGAAATCTTAGAAATAAGATGTTGCGTTTTCTTTGGAGTTGAAATTGATTAGTTTTTAGTTTGATTATCTTAGCATCGGTGTTTTCCAAATTTTTAAGCTTTGAACTTATCAGAAGCTCTACTGGAGAACTATTAATAAATTACAAACTGCAATACTTACTTGTTTGGAAGGTGTAGTGAAAATTCCAGGCCTAGCAATTTCCACTTCCAGATAAATAGAAGTGGAAGATGGTTCCAAATGAAGATGACTGTGGAATAAAGTTATGGAAGTGCCTTAAAAGAGGCTGCATTGTTTACCCCATCACTGACAGTCCTGTATGAAGCTGTGACTGGCTGCTCAGCAGTTCTTCTCCTCTCTTCCCTCAGCAATACCGTAACCCCCGGTGGCAAGCCCAACAGGACACGAGTGATCTGGGGGAAGGTAACCCGCGCCCATGGGAACAGTGGCATGGTGCGTGCCAAGTTCCGCTCCAACCTTCCTGCCAAGGCCATTGGACACAGAATCCGGGTGGTAAGTGGATTTATTTTAGAAACAAGATATTTATTGGCTGTTCTCAGGGTGCATGTTAATCCCACGTAGTATGAGGGAAAACTTGAACTAAGGTTTTGTTCTGTTTCTGTTGTGCGTACAACATGACTCTCTCTGGTAAATGCTCCTTTTGGAGCTCGGAGAGGTTTATAGCCGGCTGCTTGTGCCGAGGGGGTGTGTCTCATTGCCAGGGCTGTTGTATGCTTGCTCAGGTTGTCTGGAAAGACTCAGAGTTCTGGGACTCTTCCTCAGCTCCCTTGTAAAGCTATCTTGACGTGGTTTTTTTTTTCCCTCTGGATCTCATACATGTATTTTTGCACCCTTCTACTCCACTTCCTACCTGCTGACAGATTTTTCTCCTGCCTCCCCAATGTTTTAGCCAAGAGCTGTGTTGTCCTGACCTGTCCACTAGGACCTGTTCTAGCCACAAGGCTTCAATGAGACTGTCTCTCTGTGTCCATCACCTGGAGTTTTGATGCAATATCTTCCTGGTGATGCTGTGTCACTTTTTCATTCTCACATCTCTTCTGTGTAACTGCAAAACTTGTGTTTAAAATAGTACAGTCCAGTAACAGGATTTCTAACGTGATTCTTTTCTTGTCTTTTGCAGATGCTGTATCCATCTAGGATCTAAATTTTTATTGGAAATAAAATGTAAAATCTGTTTAACTTTTGTACATTTCTGGTTTTATCCTCTCCACCTATTTTGAGGAACATGGTTCTTTTTCAGTAGCATATCAGAATTCCCAGCAGAGGGATGGAGTAGGACTAAGCTAGATGAGATGAAGTGGAGATTCAATGCGTGCTTGGCAAGGCGTTTGTAGAGCAGACCACGTTCTAAGGACAAATAACTGGCAGCCTGTACTGGGACCTGTCTTGTGCCTCTTGTCACAAAATCTGAATGGTTTGCAGGGTTAAACAGTAAATGTTTATGACCTCATAAACTGCACACAAGCCTTGTATAGAGCATGAGAAATAATTCCTTGCCTACCTAGTAGAGGGAAACTTCTTGTTCCGGTGTCCCTTGTACTTGGCAATGACTGCTGTTGAGGCAAAAACTGCGCAGTGGGACACTGAATCCTAACAGGTGTAAGTCGTAGCTCACATCTAAAAATAGTGGTTCTAGTAGAATCGGAGAGAGTATCTTGAGTTGCAAGGGACCCATGAAGTCCAACTGCCTGCTCCTCGTAGGAGCGTAACCGCGTAACTTTATATAACTGTAAAAGATTCCAGTCTGCTTTTAAATAGGCTTTTAATTGTGACAATAAATGGGAACAATCAGTGCAGTGTTAAAAAGTGTGCAGAGCAAGTAGATACAAAGCTGTTGCATAATGTATCTTCTAAATCTCTTATGACCCAAGGCTTCGGATTTCAGTTTGTTCCTAAGTAAGGTGATAAGCATTTATCAGGATGATTCAAAGTCACGACTCTTCTATGGGCTGTTGTGATTTTGGCCTTGCCAGCAGATGGACTTACCCCTAAAACAAGACTAGCTTCCTGCTTCTCACTTGGTGTTCACATCCTTTAGAGTACGATGCAAGGCTCGACGTTGAAATCCTCTTTGCTGTCTCGGTAATTGCAAGCCTGCATGGTTTCCAAAGGTGGAAAGCTTAAGGACCTGCAAGTGCAACAGTTGCAATGCCAAGTCCAACTCTTAGCATAGCTCTTGACTGGCCCTTGGTCCAGTTTGGCTTGGCCCTTACTGGTGCCTGTAGAGACCCCGGTGTACTCAGCATAGTGCAGGCCCTTGGAGGAGGCTGCGGCTCCTGTGATGGAGAGGGAGAGTGGAAAGTGCTACAGGGTGGCTGGAGGGACAAACCAGTTGGAAGGACGGATCTTCTGGAAATGCAGAGAACGAGGCCATGCCTGGCAGCATGCATGGCTGTAGCATCTGCTCTGTGAAACGTAGGATGCATTTTCATCACACAAGGCTGTAGTGCCCGAGTGTTAATGCCTGCTGGTTTCCTGGCCAGCCTTACCACAGTGTGTCATGTGGGGTGGGAGGAACCTTTCCTCAAACTAATTTGTCACTTTCATGAATTGTTTAAGAAGATGGTGAAAAATGCATTTTTAAGAGACAGAGGAGAACAAACCTGCTCTGTTCAGCTGCCATCATACGCTGTGAGAGCAGCAGGGAACGGTTGGTTGTCCAGCAGGCTGCTGGCATATGGGCATCTGAGTACTACCTCTTGAAGATGACCAAGATAGCACCTGAGCCAAGCTTTGACCATTTCAGAAAACCCTTGCCTAGTCCTGCTTCTCGCTGGCCTGGCGCATTGTGCTTACGTGTCAGGACAAAGTCCGACTGCCCTTTGGTGTGATCCTGTAGCATGCCAGGAGGGCACCTCGCCAACTGGTTACCTATGACCTATTTCAGAGCTCAACAGTGTCAAACTGGGCAGCTCCAAACCCATCTGCTCTGCCCATCGGAGCAACTCCAGCCTGGGAAGCTGATGGATCTGCCCTTTGTTTTTATAAGGGGAGCAGCTTTGAGAACCTGACCGTTTGGCCTGTGCCAAGAAGGGCTTTCGTGGGAAGGAGGCAGGAGGATGTGAGGGAGGTAAAAGGGGCTGCCAACCACAGGTCTCCAGCACAGTGGGGTCTAGGGTAACTTTTAAGAGGTCCTGCAAAGGGTGAGCAAACAAAAAGCTGGTCTGCTGGTGTTGAAGGCAAGCGTGTACTGGGAAAAAATGGAGGCTGATGGCTATGAACAGCTAGTCCCAGCTCTGGCTGGCAAACCAAAGGCGAGCGTCCAGCCGAGGCCATGTCAGGACTTAGCTACAGGTCTGGAATGATTTTCTTGGGTTTTGATGGAACAATCACAAGCTGCAAGGGACAGCTAGAAATTAAGGGGCTATTGAACCACTGCAGTGCCAGTCTCCTTTCAATAGATGCCATTACGTTTCAGGCACCACCCAGGCTGGGAGCACTGGCCCTGGCAGGGCCTGAGGATCACTTGTCCTTGAGCAAAAACTCCTGGGTTTTATCTGCATCAGACGAAGCTTGATGAGGCGTTGAGCAACCTGGTGTAGTGGAGGGTGTCCCTGCCATGGCAGGGGGGGTGGAACTAGATGATCTTTGAGGTCCCTTCCAACCCAAACCGTTCTATGAGAGGAGCAGCTTCAGCAACCGGCTGATGGCAAAGCGATGTTGGGAAATCATTGGGTTGGAATTCTGCTTGGCATAAATGTAAGTAGAGAGGAAGGACTCCATGGCATGGCTGCCTGGAATTGCATTGGTTTGTGCAAGTGAATGTGTCTACATGGTAGGATACAGCTGGAGAAAAGCCCGAAGAGGCAGCTTGGTCCTTGGGTCTGATTTCATGTCTGTTGCCAGCCAGTTTTTTAACATCTTTTCAGCAGAAGACCGAAGAGCTGAGCAGGCTGAGGGGCAGCCTCCATCACTTTCCAAGGAGACAGGCAGAGACAACCCTCCTGCCACATGATCAGGACTGCCCCAACACCCTGGGCTGTCTGCACGTGGCCCTGCACCCACTTCCCATCCTCCTCTTCAGAAATACCTTCCTACGCTCCTCTGCCATCCAAAAAGGGATGGTGACTAAAGGAAACATGAGGAAACTTAGAACAGTTGCAGAGATGGGTAGGATGAGGCATGGCTTTCAAAGGGAATGGGATTTTGGAGAAGAGAGGCAGGGAAAGGTTTGGGGTTCCCCATCAGGAAGCCAGGTTTTGTACGAGACATGGGGCAGCTGGGGACTTCCCAGCTTTATCTGTTTATGGGGTGTAACCTCTGCTGAGCAGAGCTCAGAGGGGTGTGATGAACTGAATGGATCCAGGCCAGGGCTGGGACAGAGTAAAGTGACCATCCAGTTTGGATTCAGTTGTGACTGAACTTGTCACAGGAAGGATCCATGTCTCATTTGATACAGTTCAAACTTCATTGGGTGAAAAATGGGGGAGGAGTCTAGGTTCAGGGGCTAGAAAGGTTGAGGGCAGTTTTGGGGAAGGAAGGTGGAGGACATAGGAAGAGCCATGGAGGAGTGAACTGGAGACAGGGGCTAGAAGGGGATCAGTGGGACTGGGATGTTCAGGGCAAGGGGATAGGGGGGGGTTGGGGTGTTTTCTTCACTCAGAATTATGTCCTCTGCTACTTCTTAGAATCATAGAATCATAGAATGGT